GGACACATCTAAAACGCTGGATCCTGTGGAAACGATGTTGAAGGCCCTGAAAAAGGAGTGCTTCGACGGGTTGAAAGTTTGGGATTAGGGAATCGGAACCTCCTGTGGCCATCAACTATTTATTTATTTATATGTCGCAGTATCAAGAAGGTTTGCGACTTCGAGAGTTACATGCATTTGCGAGAGAGGTGAACGCTACAATAAGCCAATTGGTAGGCCTGTGCTTTAGTGGTATAACATTCGCTTAGCATGTTTACGTGCGAAAGGTCCGGCGTTCAACTCGCCGCTTGTTCAATCTTTTGTCGCTTTGTAGATAGATTCAAAACTCTTTTATTGTCTTGAAGCTGTATTGTGTCTATCTATACCCATAACTCTTTAGGTATAAGGTATAAACCCAAAAGAATCTGACGTTTACTGAGGGATTTTTCGCGAAGAACCGTCCACGAAAGGGACGATCGCCATGGATCAATGACCACGCAAATCTTGGGAACGTGAACAGTAGATTCATCAGTCAAACCGGTTTAAAAATATTTACATGATGATACAGGGCATCCCTGAAATTCCTCCAAGCATTCGAAGGTTCAGGAACAAGCGGATATAGTAATGTTGGCTATAAAATATCCTGCATAAGTAAAATCAGCAGGAATGTTTCCAGAGAAGTATCTCATATAGGCTGGTATGGTGTTGTCGTTTCAATCCCGGTTTCCGCCCCAGAAAGGGTTGAAATCTCATTCATTTGAAATTGTACCGCGGTGTTCGCCTTAGACTCGGTGGGGCTGACAGACGTTGGAAGCCGGCCATGAGCAGCAGCTTCGCGAAGATTCAAGACGAGATGTGAACCCTATATATGCCCACGGGCATGTCAGAGTGACTATGAGAGAACGATCGGTGGATTGCGAGTACGTACGGCCATCGATAGAGTCCCAGTTAGGTATCTATGCGACATTAAATGAGTGAATAATTTGATTCACTTAATAGACTGAACTCACGGAGGTTGAAGGTCCAACAATGCGCTGTGCACCGTCGTAAAGAACACAACAGCGAAGATCAAGACCGCTGACACATAATTGCGTTGGAAGACATTTTATGAAGCATATTATGAACTCACCTGTAATCCTGGATATAGTGAAAGATTAAAATTCTCTTCGTTATTAGTGGAAGACGATTGCATACAGAAAAAATGTCACCGTCCCATCACGTATCAACGCACGGAACACAGGGGAGAGGTTTTTCCAACCAACCCCTGAAAATTCTCCAGAGGCAATAGCATTTCCGTAAAATTTATAGACCGTTAAACAAAAGAACAGTGCTAGGAATAAAATTTTACAGTGGGTTTGCATTAGAATAAAGTCGGGTGCTCACCTGCGACAAAGATACTTGGAACCCTAAGGTTCCGATTAAAAATGTTAGAGAATGGCAGATAATTAATTTATCAGCTGCATACAATAATATTAAAGTAAAATGCCGAGATGAATTTGTGAAAACTTTAATTTGGCAGCCCGGAATAGGCAGAATCGGGTTGGGTGGCAATACACCTGAAGAAGCCTGTATAGCATTTTTCACGGTACCCCATAGCACGATCTACCAGTGCTGATACTTAAGAAGATATAAACGAAGTAGTATCTGGAAACATACCCCTGTCTCGACTAGAAAAGAATAGACTCGTTTGTATTGGGTGCTGCATCGTAGATTATCCTTGACTTACTTGTTACAATTGAGATAAGAGCAACCAAGTCTATAAATTTGAATATGTTCGGTCTATCTTCTGACTATTGGAATAATCACTCACATTTCCGACGTCGACCGTACAAAGCATGAACTCTAAGCAGCAAAATAGTGTTCACGACCCATTCGGATAAGCAGGGCAACCTGCCCAGAGTATGCGAGGGACTTGAATGATATGACAATATACTAAAGGCAAAACTAACGCACAGTGCAATCACCCAAACATATGCCTGACAACTGTGAAGGGCAGTTGAGGATCGAATTTGAAGACATAGGGTGAATGAGGACTAAGCAAGACTTACACCTGCCAAGGGGGTCAGTGACAGCTATTGCCTAAGACCCTGTAAGTGACTTACTGTGGTTGAAACATTTTGATGTGTTCCTACTGAATCTTTATTCAACCTTCTCATTCAGGGGAGTAGCACAGGCACCTACCAAAAAATTGTATCCTGAATATGCCGGGTGCTATTAAATAACTTATATAGGAAAAGTTTATACTAATCAAAAACTTACCCTATGACAATGGTTCCTACGTATCTTGCTATAATATAAAGCACTTTAATGATTGACCATTCCGTCCTGGTTTCAACCGTCGAGTTAGGAGACGGTTCTTAAAAACGAATCTACAACCAAAATCACCTCCAGATGTATTCGACCTATTTCGTCAGATAGTCAGTGAACGTTGAAGATCCCCTTTCGAGAAATACCAACCTCTTTCGATAACGACAATACGATATCATAAATTAGTACCGTAAAAGCAGCCACTGCGGCGAGAAAATAAATATCAAGCGTAACGTTGATGAATGGAAACAAACCAGTGGCATAGTTGGCCACCCTGAGTTGTGCAAGAGGTCCGATTCCTTGGTCGATTAGTTGCTGAAGGATAGAAGTAAATGGATCTGAGGACATGTTGTGAGACGGGAAAGAGCGTTGGTTGGAATACAGCTCCATCTGGCGGCACTGTATGCTTATAATCCCCATCAGGTGAGGTCTCTCGAGTATCAGATTGTGGCACTTTGGGCTTGATTACGAAAACGAGGCATTCTTTAGTGGTGAAGATGGGAGATTAATGGCTGGAAGCGCTCGAGACGGGACGGCATCACAACTGGTGGAGCGCCAGCTGCAAACCCAAAAATAGCGCCACGAAAGCGCTGGCGCTCCTGCAGGAACTGTCTATTTAGGGTCTGTGCACTGCCAGTGCACTACATAGATAGTAGACTGTGAGAGCATGAGGAACGACGCGACAACAGTCTGTGGTCTATGTGACGACGCAGCGTGTGTGACGCGTGACACCCTTCGTCTCGCGCCACAATCGCAAGCCCGCATCCAGACAAGACAGAGGCTCGTAGCCTCACTGAATCTTTCTTTTGCCTCTACCATATCCACTCCTTACCACATCCCAACTGCATTTCTTGCTTCAAGAATAACTTCCAAGCTCCTAAAATGGTCGACAGCGCTTTGAACAGCTTAGATTCCGTTTGCCCGCATTTCGCCAGCTCAGCATGATCAGCGAGGAGCTACTCAAGAAAACCTCAGACCTCGTCTACTGTGCCGCCAGACAGCATGCTGATAAAGAGCTTAGAGCTCAGGTAAGTGCCAGTTTCTGTGATGTCTTTTCTTGCCTATCTTACACCCGTCATCCCATCATCCCGTTTCCCGCCTGTTTCCCGCCCGTTCTCCTGCCCGTTTTTCTGCCCGTTCTCCTGCTCAATTTTTGCCCGTTCTCTTGCCCGTTCTCCCGCCCGTTCTCTTGCCCGTTCTCCCGCCCGTTTCCCGCCCGATTTGGCCGCTTAATTCCCCTCCCGTTGCCCGTCTTATACCTCCCATTATTCCCGTTCCTTGCCCATCTCATCGCAGTTAAACAAAACTGCTATGCCTTCGGTACGATAAGTTCAAACTGGCTAAGTCCCCTTACTCCTATCTTGGGGTGTTCTCCTTCGCAGAACGCGTCGCGAGGCTCCTACCCTTCCTCCTGCCCGTTCTCCCGCCCGTTCTTTTGCCCGTTCTCCCGCCCGTTCTCCCGCCCGTTCTCCTGCCCGTTCTCCTGCCCGTTCTCCCGTCCTTTCTCTTGCCCGTTCTCTTGCCCGTTCTCCCGCCCGTTCTCTTGCCTGTTCTCTTGCCCGTTCTCTTGTCTGTTCTCCCGCCCGTTCTCCCGCCCGTTCTCCCGCCCGTTCTCCCGCCCGTTCTCCCACCCGTTCTCCCGCCCGATTTGGCCGCTTACTTACCCTCCCATTGCCCGTCTTATACCTCCCATTATCCCCGTTCCTTGCCCGGCTCATCGCAGTTCAACAAACCTGTTATCACCCAAACGGGCTGGAAAATATTAGTTTTATTACTATATAATGTTTGTTCAGCTCATATAGTGAGGATATTTTACATAGAGGACGCGGGGGAGAGAAAACTGACTGAGTTGGCTGGTTGGAGGTCACTTGCGGTGCCGTTTCCGTGCATGTGTCACACAATTCTGACCGACTTTCGAGTTATATAATATTTACAGACCAGTGTAAGTAACTTTAGCTTCTTAGAGGTCAGCGGTGGTGAGATTCTACGAGGGGCCAAAATGAATGGCTCGAGCCGGCTTCGAAGCTGAGCTGAGCCAATGGGTGTGGCTTGTGAGATATCAGCTCGGTTTGGGCTAAAATTGGCTACGGCTGGCGGCTCAGCCGGAGCTGAGCCGAGCCGTGGGCAACACCACTTACACCCAGATCCTAGGAAGAAACCGCCCGTTTCCCGCCCGTTTGGCCGCTTATTTCCCCCTCCCGTTGTCCGTCTTATACCTCCCATTATTCCTGTTCCCTGCCCGTATCATCGCAGTTCAACAAAACTGCTATGTCTCCGGTATGTTAAGTCCAAGCCGGCCAAATATCCTCGCTCCTATCTTGGGGGTGTTCTCCTTCGCGGAACGCGTCGCGAGGCTCCTACCTTTTTGGGAATTACCGCTCATGAACTCCCCCAGACCCTCGTCCTGCATCTCCAGCTGGAACCCTGCGGGGTTTCCCCCAAACTACTCAAAATGTCATGTTTTGTTTTCCTGTCATAGCCTGTCCCTGTCCCCAAAACATTCCAGGTATTCATGTTACCTAGCGTCTCCAGCAATGAGTCTACATAGATTTACTTTCACGGAATTGAGGTGAGGACTTTGACATTAAGGAACATCATGATCAGTTGGTTAAATCAGGCAGTTGTACAACTCCCACAGAACTGGCACATGTGGCACCACCACTTCTCCAAAGTACTAGTACTGTAAAGTAGCTGGGCGGAGTTGCGGTTGAGGCGCAATTGCTATCTGCACAACATGTCTATTGACAAGGTTAGTATAAATTGAATTAGAATATTTCACTTAGGAAGATTAGTTCCAGTGCTGGACAGACTCCAGAGCGTATTGGGCGTCACAAAATAGGAGAAGGACCGAGGATTCGGGGACTACTAGTACTGGAGGAAAGTGCCATTGGCGAGCAGTGCCAGCCCAAGTTACTGATTTAGTCTCATGATATGGACAATCCCTAGTGTAAGATATTAATACAAAGGCAAAGGCGAACGCGAAAAACATTCTTACATGAAGTCAGAAG